TTATTACGTCCTTCCAATGATTGCTAAGCCAGAATCCATCTTCTCGGTTGAAATTGTCTCTGTGTTTGTATATGTGGATCGCCTCATGAACGAATCTCTCATGATAGCCAGATGGCTTGCAGAGAACCTCTGTCTTGGAGAAGTCAATGTCATGTGAGCCCACTGAATTGTAACAGTGATCTGCCACGGCTGAGGTGTTTGTCCTACCGTGTTTCAGGTCTGCCTTATGTTCACGGATGCGGTCCGAGACATGTCGTTTGGTTTCTCCAATGTAACTGCTGCCACAGAGGCAACTTAGTTTGTAGACGCCAGGGTACTGTATGTCTGGAACCACATCTTTTACAGACGGGACCAGATCACGGATTTTATGTACTGTGTTGAATCGGACCTGGATCTTGTGTTTAATCAGGATTTTGGAGATCTTTTTTGTGACCCCAGCAATGTAGGGTAAGGTGATGGTCTTGAAAGGCTCCTCAACAGGATCCTTCTTGATGGTTGGAGTGATGGCTTTGCGGATTGTGTAGTCGGAGTAACCATTAGCCTTAAGAGCTTGGCGTACGTGTTTGAGTTCACTGGAAATGTGTTCATGGTCGGAGATGCATTGGGCTCTATGATATAGAGTCTTGATGAGGGAATTCTTCTGGGATGGATGGTGGTGGGAATCCGGTTTTAGATAAGCATCCGTGTGGGTGGCTTTCCTGTAGACAGAGTGGCTCATTGAACCATCAGGTCTCCTTTTGATTAGGACATCCAAAAAGGGTAGCTTGCCATCATTTTCGACTTCCATGGTGAATCTGATGGCTGGGTGTATGGAATTGATGTGGTCGAGAAATTGGTCTAGAGCAGGTCGGCCATGTGGCCAGATGACAAAAGTGTCGTCTACGTACCTCTTCCATAAGGTCGGGCGTAGAGTGGCAGTCTGGATGGCGTCCGTCTCAAATTTCTCCATGAAGATGTTGGCTACAACCGGAGATAGGGGGGAGCCCATTGGGGTGCCCTCAATTTGCTTGTAGAAGGTTCCATTCCAGGTGAAGTATGTATTGGTTAAGCAGTGTCTCACCAGGGGGGGTACCCCAGCATTCAGTCCTTGATGAACCAAGTCTTCAATGATTGCGATGGTGTCAGGCACAGGCACCTTGGTGAACAAGGAAACCACATCAAAACTGACAAGCAGGTCGTCTGGGGACAGGGCAATCCCCTTGATTGTCGATACCAGGTCAGTAGAGTTTAGTACTGCAGAGGTGGTTTTTCCAGTGAAAGGCCGTAGGATTTCGGACAAAAAACGAGCCAGTTTGTAAGTGGGGGAGTTGATAGTAGAGACAATGGGACGAAGAGGTGTATCTTCTTTATGTATCTTTGGCAAGCCGTACAATCTTGGTGGCCTGGCTGCAGAAGGTTTCAACGATAACTGTTTGGTCTGACTTACAAACTGGCTCGTTTTTTGTCCGAAATCCTACGGCCTTTCACTGGAAAAACCACCTCTGCAGTACTAAACTCTACTGACCTGGTATCGACAATCAAGGGGATTGCCCTGTCCCCAGACGACCTGCTTGTCAGTTTTGATGTGGTTTCCTTGTTCACCAAGGTGCCTGTGCCTGACACCATCGCAATCATTGAAGACTTGGTTCATCAAGGACTGAATGCTGGGGTACCCCCCCTGGTGAGACACTGCTTAACCAATACATACTTCACCTGGAATGGAACCTTCTACAAGCAAATTGAGGGCACCCCAATGGGCTCCCCCCTATCTCCGGTTGTAGCCAACATCTTCATGGAGAAATTTGAGACGGACGCCATCCAGACTGCCACTCTACGCCCGACCTTATGGAAGAGGTACGTAGACGACACTTTTGTCATCTGGCCACATGGCCGACCTGCTCTAGACCAATTTCTCGACCACATCAATTCCATACACCCAGCCATCAGATTCACCATGGAAGTCGAAAATGATGGCAAGCTACCCTTTTTGGATGTCCTAATCAAAAGGAGACCTGATGGTTCAATGAGCCACTCTGTCTACAGGAAAGCCACCCACACGGATGCTTATCTAAAACCGGATTCCCACCACCATCCATCCCAGAAGAATTCCCTCATCAAGACTCTATATCATAGAGCCCAATGCATCTCCGACCATGAACACATTTCCAGTGAACTCAAACACGTACGCCAAGCTCTTAAGGCTAATGGTTACTCCGACTACACAATCCGCAAAGCCATCACTCCAACCATCAAGAAGGATCCTGTTGAGGAGCCTTTCAAGACCATCACCTTACCCTACATTGCTGGGGTCACAAAAAAGATCTCCAAAATCCTGATTAAACACAAGATCCAGGTCCGATTCAACACAGTACATAAAATCCGTGATCTGGTCCCGTCTGTAAAAGATGTGGTTCCAGACATACAGTACCCTGGCGTCTACAAACTAAGTTGCCTCTGTGGCAGCAGTTACATTGGAGAAACCAAACGACATGTCTCGGACCGCATCCGTGAACATAAGGCAGACCTGAAACACGGTAGGACAAACACCTCAGCCGTGGCAGATCACTGTTACAATTCAGTGGGCTCACATGACATTGACTTCTCCAAGACAGAGGTTCTCTGCAAGCCATCTGGCTATCATGAGAGATTCGTTCATGAGGCGATCCACATATACAAACACAGAGACAATTTCAACCGAGAAGATGGATTCTGGCTTAGCAATCATTGGAAGGACGTAATAAACCATTTCGGATCTTAACTGATTGTGTTCACGTTAACGGTGACTTTCAGACCGCGTTCCACTCACTGGCATGGTGCAGTGTGCAGAGTAATGTATGGTGTCGTAATTGTACAGTAAACATATAGCAGTATGATACACATTAGGGTGGGTAGAATAATACATAGTGTTATATTAAAATGGATAAGGCAGCAACTGCAGCAGCAGCAGCAAGTGCAGCAGCAGCAGCAAGTGCAGCAGCAGCAAGTGCAGCAGCAGCAGCAACTGCAGCAGCAACTGCAGCAGCAGCAGAAACTGCAGCAGCAGCAACTGCTGCAGCAGCAGTAACTGCAGCTCCCTTTGATGCTGTTAATCCTGCATAATGCACATGCATATGCAGTACTAATTACATTCCTGCATTTCCCATAAATATGCTAAATTCCTGTTGATATGCAAATTCCTTTGTCAATGCGCCCAGCTTATATATATGCTCTAAGCCCGTGTGCTGTTTCATTCAGACTCTGTCGCCTCGACGGACCTGGTTTTCACCTGAGGACGGCTGCTTGCGTTGTGGCCGAAACGTCGTGAGAATTGTTTTATTATGTTTTATTTTATTATTTTATTACTTCCCTTCTACGTGACTTTACCGAAAGAACCAAGAAGATGAATCCCTGCAGTCACGAAAGCTTTAAATCGTATTATCCACTCTGTCTCTCTGCCCTCGCTATTCACGAGCCACGCAGAAGGGCCGTTGCCCGAAACATCACGCATGACATTGTTGCCTGTCAAATCCACAATGTTATTGATGAACATTGTGAGCTTTATTGTACAAATGCAGGCACCTAGCAATTCGTGCGATGTTTGAAACGGGTTGCTAGCAAAATGCATTCATGAATCATACGGTTAAATGTAGCTCTTCCTCTGTGTGACATCAGCATCGTATGTTGCCATGAGACCCGCTGTATTATGTATTACAGAGGAAGCTGTGTACAATGGAATAATTCACCTTTAAAAAGACGAAACACGAGAGTGACTCGCCGAGTATGCGCTGTCATGGTGTGCAAACGACACAATTTTAAAACGCTCGTGAATTTTTATTTCAGCACACCACCTCGGCAAGGTAGACCGAATCCGTGCGGATGCAGTGAGCAGCTGAGCGGATGTTTCCTGTGGGCTGCCGAGACAATTACTTACAGCGAGGGCTTAACGTAACGGGCTCGAGTCGATGTCAAATGTAGCCCGAGGAAGGGTGTTGCCAGGCGTAGGGGGCACGTGACCCCTGATGATAGAAAGGTCACCTGAGGCGAGGGAGACACGTCGTAGGAGGCGAGGCCGGAGTTAATCTCCGCGGCACGAGAAGGGGAAAGGGGTCAGACGCAGCGAGGCTCCGGGCGAGCGCACGGCAGCGCGGGGAGCTCTGGACGCCGCACTGATAAGAGCTTTGTGTGGAAATGCGTAATGCACCGGTGGACGGGGCGAGGGTCGGAGTGACACGTTTGCCATGTTGAACGAAACTAAACTAAAACCAGGTCGGGGCCACGCTACTTCTCAGGGCAGCTCACAGTCAAAGTCCGCACGCGAAGCTGCGGCGAAGCAGCTGACCGCGTGGCCACAGTCTGCGCCCGAGCCGTGGAGCGGCACGCCGTGGGAGCTGGGGGTGGCCCGCTTCCTAGCCAGTGGGCCCTGCTGATTGCTGGGGAGATTACACGGGGCGCTTGCGGAGTTCGTCCGCCGCTTCGTGACGGATAAGAGGCATCCTGAACCGTGATTAGAGTAAACTACCGGCCACGGTCTCGACACTGAGCCGACTGCTCGCGCGCCACTGCGTGCTTAGAGGTTCTGGTGGTCATCAGCATCTGTGTCGCCTTGGTTAAGGGATAAAAAAAAAAGTGCATTCATGCCTAAGGCGGTATTTTGTGCCACGATCTTGCCAAAATTATAGGGTTCTCCAGACTCCCACGACATCCAAAGTGGCTCCGCGACTGTGCTATGTAACCATTAGCTGTGTGTTTTTCCCCTTTCTTTAAACGAAGAAAATTACATCGAAGGAGTTCAACAATCGTTAATGCTTTTTCAAATTCATCTACACAACATCTCTCTGGATTTGTTTTGTTTGACCTTCTGTCACCTTGAGGATTTAGCGAAAAACGTGTCTTGCTTGATATTCACGGGACACCATTATAATTTAATTTAAAAAAAGTAAAAACGAAATCGTGATCGATCACAGAGTTTAGTATCACGAGACTAATATAACTTAATAAGTACTGGACTTTGGTAAAACATGTTTCCTTCCCCCATTCCACAGGATCAAAACGCCCTCAAGAGATTCCACTCTCAGCGTCGACTCGAAGGGACGAGAAGTGGCAGCGCGTGACCACGTCCGTGGCGCCCTTGGTGGCGGCGGCGGCGGCGACGGCGGCGGTGGTGGACTTTTGGATTTAATCGCCGAAAAAGGCGAAGAATTGGTACACGTTACAAACAATCTACATAACTTCTTACGGGCGGTGCGCGCCTTCTAATCACGCCCCTCCCATGTGTTCTCGGGTTGTGGCCGCTCGTTGTTTCGGCGCGATGTCCGACGTTTTGCGCCACATGCTTGGGAAGTTTCTCCAGGAACGAGCACGCGGTGCGTCATAGCGCAGCCGTGGAAACCTCCACGGCCGTGTGCGTTCTACATTTTAAAGTATACGCCGGTAAATGTCACAAATGTATCTGCTCAGCGGGTAAACTGGTGAGCTACTCACGTCGCTACTGGCCGAAGGGCTTCCACTAGAGGGAGCTCTCGACAGCTCCCACAGTTAGTCGATGATCGCCAGGTCGCGTGTAGTGCGGTGAAGTGTGGGTACTTCCACCTCTTCCGAGACATCTGACCAGTGCAGGCCAAATTCTCTGTAGAGGTGCAGCCCCTCGAGTTGAGATACCTGCTGCCAGCAGTGGCATGAGCCGGTAATTGCAGAGCTGCACCTTTACACTATTCGCGTTGCACCATCCTGTACCGATGTGTATTGTTCCTGCAAGCTCACCTAACGTTTGCAGCGAGAGGTTTATTGTTTTATCTTTATTGTTGTTTTGCCGGATGGAAGGCTGCCAAATACCGTAATGTGGCAGAGTGGTGTGTGTCCACATGTTGTGGGTGAAGGCAATGTTTTACAAGTGTTAAGCCTCGCGCCTATTTATAGCGCGGTGCTTGTATAATGTAAAAGAGTGTCGTGAAATGTCAGCCAGAGACGGATGCAGGGGAAGGGCAGAGGAGACACCTGTCCCACCAAACGCGTGGTCATGGCATATTATTCCCTTATGTGCGGCTGCACATGCAAATTAATGCGAGTGCACGCGCGTGTGAAACAGTGCCGCATTGCATTACAATATCAGCTTTCAGGGGTAGATTTGGGTTTTTTCTCCCTAGTGCTGAGTCAAGTATTCTGATATTGCATTCAGAAGCAGACTCAGTCCTGTGATTCCAAATATTGCTCCTGTACCATTGTGCAGTCTGTGGGAATCCCAATTATTAACAAGGCGGTATTCGGAATTGCGACCCCAAGTGTCCCCTTGCGTCTCTCAGGGCAATCCTAAAGTAGTATTCATTTCCCTCCTCGACGTTATCAGATCCACGATTGCAAGTCCACGATGTTAACCCATTGCCATATCGTAGGTGACCGTTGCAGTAGCTGGCGAAGGTTGGTGGCCATGCAGCCCGCACTATGGACCACACAGTCAACCCACCGTGGTCTGCACTCCAACAGAGGAGGAAGAGGAACAGCAAAACGACACGAACTCTCTCTCTCTCTCCTGAAGTCCTCTGATCGTGGCCAGCAGACTTTGACATTGGCATCTATCTCCTAAGCATCTTGTCGAATGCAATAATATATATTATTGGGTCATTCGGTAAAGTCACGTAGATAGGTTCAAAGAAAATTACAAAAAATAACAAAAAACTACGACGTTTCGATCGCAACACGAGCAATCGTCATGTTCTCGTGATGACGAAGCTTTCATCCAGCAGTGTATTCATAGTGGCTGATGATAAAAACAATAAAAAAAACAACGACACAACTTGCGACAAACTAAAGTCCGAGCGCGACTCGGATCCTTAAAAAACAACAACACAACAACACAAAGAGATGGATTTCCAACTTTGGAGGTTGTCGAAAACGTCTCCCGGCTACGGATTCAAGTGACGGCTGCGTGATCCCTCGCCTCGGCCCGAGCACGGCAAACGCCCTCGCACACCTCAACGACTGCTCGGGCCCGAGTGGGGAGCATCAGCGCGGACGCGTGCGTTTCCATCCCATGCAGATTGAATTCGTCTTCGCCGGCTCGGCGAGCTGTGTGCAGCAGGTGTTACACACGCAATCCATCACTTGCTGTCCCATTCCAAGTCTGGCCCTGGCACGTGCACACACACACACGAAACACCACGCGGAAAAAAAACAAGTTTTTCTTTTGTTTCTCGGCCAAGACAAAAGGACAGTGAACATTGTCAGAGATGATTAAAAACAGCGAATGGTTCAGCCCACGCCCGAGCCTGCCATGGACATTGATCTCCGCTGTTCGCGCAGCTTGTGTCCGATTCTAAGTAAAACTGGTGCCAACAATTCTCAATCCACTGCTGGACGAATGCCTTCCCCACGCCGTGTCTTGTCATGCGCGCTTTTGTTTGACCATAGTTCACTGGTCAATGCGAGTTGGTGGTGGAGGTGAGCAGAGATGCACACAGGTTCCTGGAAGCCTGAAGCAAAATGCCACCTCGTGATGAAATAACAGGCCCGTTGTGGGGCCCTCTTTGGTGTAAGGTCCCCTCACCACCCCACTCTATGCAGCACTGAGGACCTATTTTGATCACATTTGCCAATGGTTTTAGCAGTGGCCAGGAATTGAACTTGGGTTGCTGGCTTAATAGAACGGTGCGCTAAACCACTGCTCCACCGCTAACAGCCGTGTCTGATTAAATAAATACAATGTGGGAGCAAGCGTACATCTAAACCGGTGTTAACTAAAAGGAACGCAGCCACAGTAACAGTGCTTGAAACTTTTAATTTGGTTAAATGTCATCAGACAGGGCCCTCTCTGAAGTGTCAGAATGATCAAGTGTATGAAGCTCAGGTTTTTTAAAGGCTTAATGAGACAGCCACACCTGAATTAAACATTTGGCAGCCATTCCTAACCAATTTCAAAGAGTACTTTCATATGTTTCTCACCATGAATTTTTTGTCACCCATCAACCGTGCGAGTATTTTAGGGGCACGTTTGTTTGGTGGTGATATAGACGTTTAGAAAATTCAAACAGTGGCCTCTTTTGGCCCAACGTACCAATCAGTTGGCGAGTTGCATTTCTCTGGGAGGGCAGATGTGTTCCATGATCTATTCATCGATGTACCTACACATACAAAACAACCCGACAGCTAACATTTCTACTCACCACAATCTTATGATGTAATCCAGTCACTTCTGTCTAGTGACATAATGCAGTGAAAAAAACTCAAAGTGGATTTCCGTTATCATGGGACATTTGTGCCAAGATAAAAGTCTTAAAAAAATAATAGGTTTTACCCTTTCTGGCAATGAAACAGGTGCTGAGGTGTTCAAACACCAAATATAAACGTTGTAATCACACGAACCAGTGGTGAACATGCGAACAAATATTCTCTTATAATATTTGCATTGCCTTTCAAACTGATTGGCCTACACCAGAGGCAGTCTTCTTCGTGGCCTCGTCCCACCAGCGTTCGACCAGAGAACGCCAAAAGGCGACCAGCACAAGGACAATGCACGTATCAGGCATTACTAACTTGGGGTGAGCAACTACATCATGGGACCTTTTTTCCCAGTATCAAAGTATGGTTTACTTATGCTTGGGATGAGTACGTCCATAGGAAAGTGTTGTTTACTTTGATGCTGGCAGTGGTAACACCTGTGCTTCACACCAGGAAGCACCTGGGTTCGATTCCCGACTTGGGTGCCTTTTCTGTGTGGATTTTTTTGAGGTTCTCCCACCTGTTCTGCAGAGAGTGTGAGAGTAAGTGTGTGGAGTCCACCTAGCATGGCACAAGCGTCGTGGTGACGTCATTGCCACTTCAAGGCGTGGAATGTCTATTGCTGTGAGTGGAGTTTGTGGGGAGCGGTGGTGCAGCGGTTAGCGCTACGCTGCGCTACAAACCCGGCGACCCGGATTCGATTCCTGATCACAGCCAACACCGGTGACGATTATTTGAACTGGTCCAGGGCCTCCCCTAGGTCGACTCAGCCTCAAATGAAAACCTGGTGCGGGGTGTAAACATCGCCACTGGGGAGACAAAGGCGGCCGGGCGTGGTGCTGGCCACCCACCCCTCGTCTGCCGTGCTGGCCTTCATAGGTGCTCGCTAGCAGCACTTGCCCCAACAGTCTGTTCAGGCTATATGGGGGATCTTTGTCTTTGGAGTGTTTTGCATGGGATTCCTCCAGGTTTAACCAGTTTCCTCCCACAGCTAACAATACTGGTATTGGCCAACCATGCTAATGGTGAAAACATTTATTTAGGATTACACATAGCGACAGCGTCCCGCACTACGAACACTTGGCAGGACCCTCCTCTAACAAAACATCGTCTCGGGACTGAATTTTTCCTGAGTAGACAAGGGTAAACACAGATTAACAAAGTAATAAATATTGATCTAAAGTGTTGCATTCTTTTTAGGCATAAACCCCATATCTCAAGCCCATATGGGTTCGCTCAACACCTGTGTCGTCTATCAACAATTGTAGACAAAAAGGGCCATGACCTTAAGTAGAAATGAAAAGTTATTTTGAACACAGCACCGACCTATAAATAACTGAAGCAACACCGCAGATGAACACAAAGTAGGTCCCTCTCAGCAGGTTGCCAGACATCAACATTCGCATGTCATGTCTCAGACGTGTTATGCAGACTTTTTTTTACCAACTCCTTACCCACGAATTCTGAACGCCTGTGGTATTATGCCTTTTAGGTGGGTGCAGTGGTAAAATATATTTTTAAAACAGAAACATTGGTTTGTCATTTTAATGGCATGATGTTATCAGACAAAGTTTTCATATGGACATATCGCTAGGCCATTGTAAAAATAACATTTTCCTTACAGAAAATTAAGAAAAATGTGCAATAATCTGCAGTATACTCTCATAAACACCTTTCTGGAGCTGTGTTGCGCATGAAGTGCGGCCGTCCTCTGGGCTAAACTTTCCCCACGTAACGATCTGCCAAGCAGGGTTCCACTGCAGCGGGAACTCTTAACTCACGACCGGGAAATTCAAAGTTCAACTCCGCATCAAGGCACGACTCAGCCCATCATCTCTCCGAGGTCAATTACACAAGCGTCGCTCTGTAGA